GAAGAGCAAGAAGATGGAGAAAACGTGGAAATCAGTCAGCCACCACATAGGCAGCCCACAGCTTCCAACAAACAGTCCCTCAATCCTTCTGGAAAGAGCACAAACCCTAAGGTATCATCTAATGCTAATCAAGTTCCAATTTCAACTAATGCTTTTAGGCCTATTGCACCCTTTCCCAGCAGGTTATCAAAGTCAAAGAAAGATCAAGGCTTGGATGAGATAATGGAAACATTCAAGAAGGTGCAAATCAACATCCCATTGCTCAATGCCATTGCTCAGATTCCAAAGTATGCAAAATTTTTGAAGGATCTATGCACTAACAAGAGGAGATTCAAAGAGCATGAACAAGTTGCATTGAGTGAAGAGGTAAGTGCAGTGTTACAAAGAAAGCTACCTCCAAAGCTAAAGGATCCAGGTTCGTTTTCTATACCTTGCATAGTTGGTGATTTTAAGTTTCAAAAAGCTTTGCTTGATCTTGGTGCTTCTATAAACCTTATGCCATATCATGTTTATGAAAAACTTAACCTTGGTGAGTTGCAAGCCACATCTGTGAGCATTCAATTGGCAGATAGAACTATTAGGTACCCTAAGGGCATTCTGTTTTGGTGAACGTAGAAGGTTTAATCTTGCCATTTGATTTCTTAGTCCTGGAGATGGAAGAAGCACCAATTCCTAACAATGAATTGCCCCTTATCTTTGGCCGACCCTTCCTGGCTACTGCAAAGACCAAGATCGATATAGAGCAAGGCACTCTCACCATGACCGTTAATGGAGAAACTGTTGCCTTCAAAGTGTTTGATGCCCTGATGCCAAATGTTGTACAAGATTGTTTTCAAATTGAAGTATTTGGTAATCCGGGGAAAGAGAGATTTGATGGCCTTCCATATTCAGTAGAAACATGCTTGCTGAAAAGAGGAGACAAGGAGGAGTAGGGGGCAGCCCACATGTTCAATGCTACAATTCCCACACACAAGAAGGGGCTGCCCAAATTTGGAGATGTGAATATTCGAATCATTCCTACAAATACTAATATGGTTTCTCAGAAATTGATAGTCATTGTTTAAGGACTTTCTGTGGTTCTGAGTTGACTCTATCTTGCATGCCATCCTTGCACTTATTGAGCACTTTGCCAAGTTAGTCCAATTTCTTGCTACTTGGAAACGTTATGCAATTCTACTTATCTCATGATCTTGGTTTCATACTCTAGAACTTAATTAAATATCTCTTGAGACATTTTGTTGCCATACAATTCATAGGAAGTGATTTAGGCCATGTTTGAACCGTTTGAGCCTTTCTAACCATCCCTCTACATGTATTCATCCCTAGTCAACTCATTTGAGCCTACGTTAAGCCTTTCTTTGTGTAAACCATTCCTACCATAATGAACCTCTGTTTTCTTATTCTTACTTATTCTATGAGCAATTAAAGCTATCTTCAAAAGAGAGTTACAAAGAATGCAAGGTTTTTGGTGCAAAAGTGAATTATTAGTGCCATAACCCAAGTGTTGAAAAGAAATAAGTGTGGGGGTATTGGTAACTAATTAAAAGAGGTAATGAAGTGTGACCAATGTAGTCACGGCCCTAGGGTGTTATAAAAGAGAAGATCGTGGTGATCGAGGGTAAAGAGCCACAAAATTAGGCCAAATAAACAGATATGAAGGTGCTGAAATTATGTTGAAAATCTGCTCATATATGTGTTCCTTGCTTGTTACAAAGTTCAGTAATCTCTTATGCTCTTGCCTATGCTTTAATTGTGCTCAAAATATTGTATATCTCATACCCTTCTTTCATTCAACTACTACCCTAAACCTCATTACTACCCTTGTAAAGTCCTTTTGATCCTTGGTGTTGCATGGTATTATGTGGAGAGCGGATTGGATAATGAGCTTATGGTCGGAATTTTTTATTTTGCTCTAAGTGTGTGCTAATGTACTTATTTGAGTTGCAGGTGTTGTTCTGATTTGGCATTCACACACTACACTTAAGGATGTCATTGTGAGCTTTGCTTTCTCATGAATCATGTATGGAACTTAGATTGTGATTTTTATGTTTCTTTGGAACCATATACGTTGGTGATTCTTTGAGGATATTTTTCGGAAGGCTAGTTGCATATTTCCTGTTTCCTAAGTTGTAATTTTCCTTTGTTTTGCTCGAGGACTAGCAAAATCTAAGTTTGGGGGTATTTGATAAGTTCATAATTTCATACATTCGCATCACTTCTTTACTTAGTGACTTTGCTTAGTTTCTCTATATTCTGAGTCACTTACCTCTTTTTGTTTGTTTTGTAGGTTAAGACAGCAAGAGATCACATTTTATGCAATCCATGCAAGAGATCACTTACCTCTTCGGAAGGCTAGTTGCATATTTCCTCCCAACATATTATGATGTTCCCCCAGTTTTGGACTCAATCCAATATCGATTGGCCCACGAAATTGGACAATTCAAGTTCGTACGAAGTTCGTTTAGAAATGGAGTCGTTGGTGTATTCCATCGTTCTAGAGACTGGATTTCACTCAAAACCCACCAAATGACTCCTCCCACCATATTATGATGTTCCCTAAGTTTTGGACTCAATCTGATATCGAATGGTCCTTGAAATTGGACAATTCAGGATCGTACGAAGTTCCTTCTAAAATGGAGTCGTTGGTGTGTTGCATAGTTTTAGCCATTGGATTCCACCCAAAACTCACCAATAACTCCTCCCACCATATTATGATGCTCCCCAAGTTTTGGACTCAATCCGATATCGATTGGTCCACGAATTGGACAATTCAAGTTCGTACGATGTTCATTCAGAAATGGAGTCGTTGGTGGATTGCATAGTTCTAGATATTGGAATTCGCTTAAAACCCACGAAATGACTCCTCCCACCATATTATGATGTTCCCCAAGTTTTGGACTCAATCCGATATCGATTGGTCCACGAATTGGACAATTCAAGTTCGTACGATGTTCATTCAGAAATGGAGTCGTTGGTGTATTGCATAGTTCTAGGTATTGGATTTCACTCAAAACCCTCCAAATGACTCCTCCCACCATGTTATGATGTTCCCTCCGTTTTGGACTCAATCCGATATCGATTGGTCCACGAATTGGACAATTCAAGTTCGTACGATGTTCATTCAGAAATGGAGTCGTTGGTGTATTGCATAGTTCTAGATATTGGAATTCGCTCAAAACCCACGAAATGACTCCTCCCACCATATTAGGATGTTCCCCAAGTTTTGGACTCAATCTGATATCGATTGGTCCATCCAATTGGACAATTCAGGATCGTACGCAGTTCCTTCTAAAATGGAGTCGTTGGTGTGTTGCATAGTTTTAGCCATTGGATTTCACCCAAAACTCACCAAATCACTACTCCCACCATATTATGGTGTTCCCAAAGTTTTAGACTCAATCCAATATCTATTGGTCCGTGAAATTGGACAATTCTAGTCCGTACGAAGTTCGTTCAGAAATGGACTCGTTGGTGTTTTCCATAGTTCTAGAGATTGGATTTCTCTCAAAGCCCACCAAATGACTCCTCCCACCATATTTGGATGTTCCCCCAGTTTTGGACTCAATTCGATATCGATTGGTCCACGAAATTGGACAATTTAGGTTCGTACGAAGTTCGTTCAGAAATGGAGTCGTTGGTGTATTGCGTAGTTCTAGAGATTGGATTTCACTCAAAACCCCCCAAATGACTCCTCCCACCATATTATGATGTTACCCAAGTATTGGACTCAATCTGATATCAATTGGTCCATGAAATTGGGCAATTCCGGTTCGTACGAAGTTCCTTTTAAAATGGATACGTTGGTGTGTGGCATAGTTTTAGCCATTGGATTTCCCCCCAAACTCGCCAAATGACTCATCCCAACATATTATAATGTTCCCCAAGTTTTGGACTCAATCCGAAATCGATAGGTCCACGACATTCGACAATTCAGGATTGTACGAAGTTCCTTTTAAAATGGAGTCGTTGGTGTGTTGCATAGTTTTAGCCATTGGATTTCACCAAAAACTCACCAAATGACTCCTCCCACCATATTATGATGTTCCCCAAGTTTTGGACTCAATCCAATATCGATTGGTCCGTAAAATTGGACAATTCTAGTTCGTACGAAGTTCGTTCAGAAATGGAGTCGTTGGTGTACTGCATAGTTCTAGGGATTGGATTTCACTCAAAACCCACCAAATGACTGCTCCCACCATATTATGATGTTCCCCAAGTTTTGGACTCAATCCGATATCGATTGGTCCATGAAATTGGACAATTCAAGTTTGTACGAAGTTCGTTCAGAAATGGAGTCGTTGGTGTACTGCATAGTTCTAGAGATTGGATTTCACTCAAAACCCACCAAATGACTGCTCCCACCATATTATGATGTTAGCCAAGTTTTGGACTCAATCTGAAATCGATTTGTCCATGAAATTGAGCAATTCAGGTTCGTACGAAGTTCCTTCTAAATGGAGTCGTTGTGTGTTGCATAGTTTTAGCCATTAGATTTACCCCAAAACTCACCAAATGACTCCTCCCACCATATTATTATGTTTCCCAAGTTTTGGACTCAATCCGATATCGATTGGTCCACGAAATTGGACAATTCAAGTTCATACGAAGTTCGTTCAGAAATGCAGTCGTTGATGTATTGCATAGGTCTAGGGACTGGATATCCCAAAAAACCCACCAAATGACTCCTCCCACCATATTATAATGTTCCCCAAGTTTGGACTCAATCCAATATCGATTGGTCCACGAAATTGGACAATTCCGGATCGTACGAAGTTCATTCTAAAATGGAGTCATTAGTGTGTTGCATAGTTTTAGCCATTGCATTTCTCCAAAAATTCACCAAATGACTCCTCGAAACACCTATGATAAGACTTATGATAAGACTTGTTTCGTTATCCTTCCAAACACCTATGATAAGACTTGGATCTAATACTAATATGGTTTCTCAGAGATTGATAGTTATTGTTTAAGGACTTTGTGTGGTTCTGAGTTAACTCTGTCTTGCATGCCATCCTTGCACTTATTGAGCACTTTGCCGAGTTAGTCCAATTTCTTGCTACTTGGAGATCTTATGCAATTCTACTTATCTCATGATCTTGGTTTCGTACTCTAGAACTTATTTGAATATCTCTTGAGACATTTTGTTGCCATACAATGCTTAGGAAGTGATTTAGGCCATGTTTGAACCGTTTGAGCTTTTCTAACCATCCCTCTACATGTATTCATCCCTACTCAACCTTCATCCCAACTCAACCCATTTGAGCCTGCATTAAGCCTTTCTTTGTGTAAACCATTCCCACCATAATGAACCTCTGTTTTCTTATTCTTACTTATTCTATAAGAAATTAAAGTTATCTTCAAAAAAGAGTTATAAAGAATGCAAGGTTTTTGGAGCAAAAGTGAATCATTAGTGCCATAACCCAAGTGTTGAAAAGAAATAAGTTTGGGGGGCATTGGTAACTAATCAAAAGAGGTAATGAAGTGTGACCAATGTAGTCACGGCCCTAGGGTGTTATAAAAGAGAAGATCATGGTGATCTAGGGTAAAGAGCCACAAAATTAGGCCAAATAAACAGATATGAAGGTGCTGAAATTATGTTGAAAAT